AGATGAAAAATGCCCCCCACGTCTCGTCGTTCAAGTCTCACGGGACTTCGCGCGATCTTTCAGTGCCACTTCCAAATATTGGCTTTTTATAAGTACCTACCTACCTGTAAGCTTATAAATAGCCTCCTTGACTGGGAACTGAAAATTCGAGGTTTATTTTCTTTCAAATTTTTTTACCGTATTTAACAGTGTTTTAAAAATGTGTGATTTTGTAATATAATCTACGAAGTCAGCACAACCAAAAGAATGTAAGTAAATGGTAACCACTTTGCTAGCAAAGTAGGGACTAGTAATTATAACATGTATCTTTTATGTTAAATTTTACTGAATCCTAAGTTGAATGTCCTCTAAAAAATAAATACATATTTTTTATTACACCTTCTTTTCTTTTGTAATGCCTTATAACACTTGTTAACTCTAAAACTGAAAATTGAAACTTTATTTACTTTTAATAACTTATTTTCCGGCATAAATGAAGTCAATGCTTAAATCATTTAAAAACATTCACAAACATACTTTCCCTAATGCACATAAAATACAGCCAATAGCTTTTTATTTTTTTCAAAACCATTAAGAAACAAATCATTTAATAAAATCATATAATTGTTTAAGAAAAACTCAGTAAAACGAATTATATTATTTTCATAAAACTCCTTCAGATATTTATCCTAGCCTAGTTTTATTTCTTGTCAAGCTCTATTCACTACCAGACAATAGACTCGTTGTCAATTCGAAAACTTGAGACACGGAACAATGAATTTATAAGTGAAATAGTAGTAATATAGTAAAATGAGATTCTTGTTAGATTGATCTTATTTAGAATTATATCAAAAATTATGAAATACAATAACTTTTCTATAATAATATATATTTTGTTTCTAGTTATTATGTACCAGTACTATAGCGTAAAATTAATGCAGTATAAAGAAAAATTAACGAAGTATTTTAATGAAACGAAGTTTGAGTACGTTGAAGACACTCATTTCAACATATACTTTTGGCCGAGGAAACTTAAAGGATGTTTAAATAGAATCTTTATGGAGATATTGATACATAAGCAAATAATATTTATTTATATTTATTGACATCATTAATTATTTGTTTCAATGCCAAAATTATTTTTGATAATTACGTATAATATAGATTATAATTATCGGTCAAGATTGTATCTAACATATAAGAAATACAACCAAGTAATTAATATACTTTTTTATGAATATTTACATACGTTAACAGACGCCAGAGAACTCAAACACACATTAAAAGAAACGAAAATCGTAAAGTTTCTGTGATTCTGAGAGCATCACTTACAGTATCGCTACGTTGAAGTTACACTTACAGCCCCAATATTACAATAGAGAAAAACGCATCCTTTGAAAATTTCCTTTAACAGTTTCTCCTTTGTTTGTTTACATTTATATAATGGGTGACTTCATCTCAGAAATTGTTCCCTCGACAACCATTTTAATTTGAAACCTCATATTACTCAAATTCTACGTACACTCAAACAATAGTGCTTTCCTTAAAATGATTTAGTTTCATACTTTCGTTTGGTAAACTTCTTTACCTTTAAATATTTTCAAATAAAATTAAAATATTAAAATCATATTTTCATGGTTTTTAGTGAAATTGCTTGTTACTTTCTAAGTAGTGTAAGTGTAGAGTGTGTAGTGTAGTAAATTCATACCATCCTATTATTAAACTTTCAGAAGTATGGTAGAAGTCATGACCGTAAATCAAATAAATACGAAATTAAAAACTAATATGAAATATAAAGTATGTATTGTTGTTTTAAATGTAAAGTCTGAGTTCTCAATTTTTTTTTATAGTTTAACATGTTTTTATTAAAGTTTTAACATGCGTAGTGCATGTGAAATTATTTTTGTTAGTTAGTCTATTGGAAAAATAATACTTGACTTGCGAGTGTTTACTTTAAACTGAATTCAATCAAACAAAAATAAAACGCTATTCAATATTTTGATAAATAACTTAAAATGATACAATAAATTACTTAATTTTATTAAATATTTTAAGATTTACCAAAACCAGTATTTTTTAAGCCCAAGAAAAAGAAAAATACAATTATTTAATAATGAAAATACGAAGAGAGTTAAAACAATGACATAGAATCGCTCGATTATGGGTCTGCGAACCATTTATCAAGCGACCGCTGCAGAAGTTTCATGAAAAGAGTTTGCAAAGTATACCCCTGTGTCAACCTCCTAAGATTTATGGTGACCCTGGCTTAGAGAACGTTCACTTTATTGCATTGTTTCTGATTATTCATCTCAAATTTAATTTTCCAAAGATCAACATATGAACTTATAGTTTTTTATGACAGTTTACAATTATTAATTGGCTATGATACTCAATGAGAAAAACATAAATATTAGTCAAACATTCAATACAACAGACTAAAAGCAAGTCATTGGTATTTCATAGTCTTCGATCAAATAGATCTGATGTGACGTATGAATAATTCAAGGATAGTCTTGCGTGAAACAGTCTCAAAGGAGAAAAGAGCGAATTTCTATTACTGTTTAAAATTGCCGACGCGCTCCTGTCTGATTCACTATTATAGCACATTGCATTCCAGTTAGATAATATTTTCAGTATATATTTCTTGAAAATGTTAACTTAAGTTATTAGCAGCCGCATAGTTGAAAAAGAATGTATGTAATATAATAGAGATCGTGTATCAAATTTCAATTAAAATGATTTAAGGATAATGTTTTCTATTACACGTTAAATATACTATGAATATACTATATAGATGTTCATTTTATTGTGTGAGTTATGCAATATATGCTCTCTATATGTTATGATCAAGGCAATGCTTCCTCCCACACGAAAGTTTTTTGTGCTATATTAAGGTATGTATATAAGGTATGTAACTGTTAAGACTCTCTTTATGGGTGAATTAGCGTTATTGTGGTATATTTATTTTAAAATTGTTGCCATCTATTTTTCTTTCAAAATTCAGAAGCATTACTTATCATAATTTCAGCATAAAATCAAATATTATATTTTTTTCATTTAATTGGCTCTTAACTTTGAGGAGAAGAGACGATAAATTTCTGATCTATTTGTTTTATTACAGGTTAATCTGTTGACTAAAAATTTTATAAAAATAAATGAACATAATAAAACTACATATTTACAATACAATTTTAATCACGAGTACATTATTATAAATAAAAAGGCCAATTCCTTGACTGATCTTATATATTTTAAAATATTACTACGTTTTCTTAAATATTTAAAGTGCTGCTGCTGCAAATTGTTGGAAATTATATTGTTCTGGGTTATAATAATTATAATAAACTGTATGTTTGTTCTGTGAGTATACAACCATTCATTCAATTTAATTTACATGTTAACTCATTTACATATAAATATATTTACATACACATATTTCTTTATTTTGGTGAACTTTTCCGTGTAGCTTACAATAATACAAGTTATATTATAATAATACTCGCAATTCAATATTCAAGATAAATATAAAAATATCAAAAGGCAAGATAATGTAATGAAAACAAGGATATACTTAAGAGAAAAATTTTGATTTATATTTCCTAGTCTACTGTAAAAATAATTTCAAAGTATTTATTTAGATATGCTCAAACGTATATGTAGTTATAAAATTTTATTAATATGTTCTTTATAATGAAAGAGAAAAGCAAACAAATCGTTTCATAAACTTTCAGTAACTCAAAAATTTAAGTCTAGACATTTTAATTTTATCTCATTTTTAATAAGCATTCTCATAAACTTATGATGTAATTCCACTCTCAAAATTGAATTTCTAGTCTTTCTAGGCCATTTCTACACCAATTATAGATCATCTCATACCACTTATACTTAAAACAACAAATTATTTGATAATATTATTTTCAAGGACATCGTGGTAAATATTTGTGTATTCTTATATGTTTTAATGTTATTTTAATAATAAGTCACAATCAAATAACCTATATACAGTTTTGTACAAAAGGCTTTTGTAATTACTTTGCCAACTTAAAATGTTTAGAAACAATTGAGACACTGAACTCTTATTAGTAAATTTTGCGTCTTAAGACCAGTGGGATGATGTCTCACGCTTCAACTAAGTTCGTTAGAGTAATGAAACGTTCACCGATCGTTACTTACACATTGATGTGGTAAAATATACGAGAGAGTTCAAAGAAATTTGAATTTTCAAGAGAAATCTTTTATTAATTAAAAAAAATTGAGGATTCGTGAAGTTATATATTTATAATTTTACTAGTAAACCTGGCGAACTCCGTTTCGCCACCAGAAGGCTTTTATATAACATTTCGTTTGGTGATTAAAAGATGAAGAATTTTTTGTTTTATATTTGAAAAGGAAAATTTTTATTTCATTTCACAACAGTAATGAATTCATTTCGATTACAAAAATGAAGTGTTATTTAGCTGAACTTCTCTAAGTAAATGAAAGTGAATCCAAAGTAGATACCGAATCGAAACGTTATACGTGTCCGCAAATTATCCTTTTCATTGAAGTGCTCCTTTGTAAACCACATTTTTTGTTTGTTGGTCTAACTTTAACACAAATAAAGCGTATGGTTTCCAAACTCGTGAACACGCAAAATATAACTGCCCATGTGAAAAACAATGATTTTCTAACTTTATCCCACAAATACTAAATGGTTTTAAGAGTTCAAACTACAAACACATTACCTAAATACTTTTATTTTTATATAGTAGATTTCTTACAAATATCTAATTGTCATCCATACGTCATTACATATCTGTCATTATACGTTAATTGCATAGCTGTCAATTCTGTTATTCCACGTTTTATAATGACTGACGTTTCATGTCAAGTCCAACGGGAATGCTGTCGAACGGGATAAAAAGTATCCTATTGCAATTTCCCGGTTCTAAACTACCTCCCTGCCAATTTTCAGCTAAATCGGTTCAGCCGTTCTTAGGTTATAAGTGGAGTCACTAACACGACTTTCTTTTATATATAGACTAGTCGGGCAACTGGTCGACCAACTGATCGTCCAACTGGTCGACCAACTGATCGTCCAACTGATCGTCCAACTGGTCGACCAACTGATCGACCAACTGATCGTCCAACTGGTCGACCCATTGATCGTCCAACTGGTGGACCGACTGATCGACCAACTGATCGTCCAACTGGTCGACCAACTGATCGTCCAACTGATCGACCAACTGATCGTCCAACTGGTCGACCAACTGATCGTCCAACTGGTCGACCAACTGATCGACCAACTGATCGTCCAACTGGTCGACCAACTGATCGTCCAACTGGTCGACCAACTGATCGACCAACTGATCGTCCAACTGGTCGACCAACTGATCGTCCAACTGGTCGACCAAGTGATCGTTCAACTGGTCGACCCATTGATCGTCCAACTGATCGACCAACTGATCCGTCCAACTGGTCGTCCAACTGGTCGACCAACTGATCGACCAACTGATCGACCAACTGATCGTCCAACTGGTCGACCAACTGATCGTCCAACTGGTCGACCAACTGATCGACCAACTGATCGTCCAAGTGATCGTCCAACTCGCTTCTATCTAAAAACAAACAGGGCCTAACCCTCGCAGCGTCTACTCAGCGTTACACAATTGAATATTTGAATCCAGTTCCGGCAATGAATCTTTAATATATGTAGGTACAAAAATATATGTAACACGATTCTCATATAAATTTCTTTAACACGAACGAGAAAAACTTGTACAAGAATATATGTACTAAGAATATAGAAACTCTTTGGATAAAAAATGTATTTACTGGCTGACCTTTGTGGATGCAACATCTACGCGTGACATTTGATTATTAAGAAAAAATGTTGATTAAATGAAGCCATAATATACAGGGTGACTGGTGAATTACTATCGATACTTGAGGACGTGATATTTGACGATCAAATATGACAAAATAAAAATTAATATGACATAAATATTAATAAACTTCTAAGTAAAGTTAACCAAAAGTTATGTCATTAATTACGCATCGTGTGAACACCCTACAGATTAGGTATACACACACACACACACTCGCGCGCGGCGGCGTGGTATTGTATCAGCACGACGCCGCACGCGTCCACACTTGGAACACTTGGAACACTTGGAACGTGTCCACACTTTAATTATTTATACGGAAATTTGGTCAAAAATTAAGTACCTATTTTTTTTACATAATTCGAATGAGAATCATGTAACGAGTATTCTCCTTAAATATTGATAGTAATTCACCAGTCATCCTGTATATATACATATACATATTATAAAATTAATATTTATTATTTATTTATATGAAATTGGTCAAGAATTTGCTTTTCTATGTATGTACTTTAATCAAATGAACAGATGTTTTGAAGGTAATGCTTTTGGCGTTTGTAAATTTTTGTTGTACCTTTTTTGAATAAGTAGAAAAATACCAGAAGGCTTTTATATAACATTTCGTTTGGTGATTAAAAGATGAAGAATTTTTTGTTTTATATTTGATAAAGAAATTTTTTATTTCATTTCACAACAGTAATGAATTCATTTCGATTACAAAAAAGAAGTGTTATTTAGCTGAACTTCTCTAAGTAAATGAAAGTGAATCCAAAGTAGATACCGAATAGAAGCGTAATACGTGTCCGCAAAGTATCCGTTTCATTGAAGTGCTCTTTTGTAAACCACATTTTTTGTTTTGTGGTCTAACTTTAACACAATTAAAGCGTATGGTTTCCAAACTCGTGAACACGCAAAATATAGCTGCCCATGTGAAAAACAATGATTTTCTAAATTTATCCCGCAAATACTAAATGGTTTTAAGAGTTCAAACTACAAACACAATACCTAAGTATTTTTATTTTTATATAGTAGATTTCTTACAAATATCTAATTGTCATCCATACGTCATTACATATCTGTCATTATACGTTAATTGCATAGCTGTTAATTGTGTTATTCCACGTTTTATAATGACTGACGTTTCATGTCAAGTCCCACGGGAATGCTGTCGAACGGGATAAAAAGTATCCTATTGCAATTTCCTGGCTCTAAACTACCTCCCTGCCAATTTTCAGCTAAATCGGTTCAGCCGTTCTTGGGTTATAAGTGGAGTCACTAACACGACTTTCTTTTATATATACAGGGTGACTGGTGAATTACTATCGATATTTGAGGACGTGATATTTGACGATCATATATGACAAAATAAAAATTAATATAACATAAATATTAATAAAGTTCTAAGTAAAGTTAACCAAAAGTTATGTAATTAATTACGCATCGTGTGAACACCCTACAGATTAGGTATACACTGACACTCACACATACGCGTGTCGTGACGTAGTGTTGTATCAGCACGCCGCCGCGCGCGTCCACACTTGGAACACTTGGAACGTGTCAACACTTTATTTATTTATACGGAAATTTTGTCAAAAATTAAGTGCCTATTTTTTTTACATAATTCGAATGAGAATCATGTACCGAGTATTCTCCTTAAATATTGATAGTAATTCACCAGTCACCCTGTATAGATTTGATGGAGTTTTTTCTTCCATAAGAAGCTTGGACGTGATAAGTTTTAATGATGCCTTTAGCATTTGGAGGGTTTACAACTTGCATACAAATTATGGCTCCTCTTTACTTTTGAGATAATTCAAAACTTTGTTTCAAATATATTAACAAAATTTTCATTACAAAAGCACTCAAATTTATTTAAAACGAAAGGTAAAATTCCGATGTTTCTTCGCTGTAAAATACATTATTTTTATCACCCTACCTTTTAAAACCCGATGTAGAAAGCTTTCTATTTAATTACGTATTCAAATACGCATTAAGACAACTCAACATAATAATTTACTTTGTGAGTTAACAAGAATTCGTGACAAATTTATATTCAAAGTACAAGAATTTTTATAAAGTTAAAATATATTTGTATTTGATATCTAATTTTCTAACGCCTTTTGTTATTTGTACACCGACGCAAAAGCTCTCCTTAGAAGTCCGTACTACAAAATACAAAGGAATGTTTCTTTTAAAAGTTAATTAAATATATCATACTCGCCTTTTATAAGGTATTTACTTTTAAAATCTATTTCAAAAATATAAATAAAAATGCGTTGATAAATGTTATTTTAATTTTTTTTATAATATCAAGATATCGCTCACACTTTATTGATAAACTTCTACTATTGAGGAAAACACACACACTAACAAATTCGTCACTTTAATTTACCAATTTACCAATTTGTGTGTCCCTTTGAGGTCAACGATTTCAAAGATAAACATTTGTGGTATGCAATTATTTGTTTAATACATTAATTTAATTAAATATATTTTTCTACCTCGATTATTCTGAATCTTTTTATATTAAAAATATTTTATTACAATTAAAATGATTTTTTAAATTACCCCTGATTTAAAAAATGATTAACTTTAGAACTTTACTATATACATTTTATATTAAAGGCTTGTCAATGTCAATATTTAATTGAATTATGCAATTATTTTTGTTAACAACGCTCTTACTATTAAACTCAGAAATCACAGAATACTTGTAGTTGTTTTATTATTTAATATTAGATTCCTTGATGTGCTCGCGGTTTCATAAAGTTACAACAAAACAACAAACTTACATATCAAGAGCAAGCCGCGGAAGCTCTCAAATGGAATATTTTTGCCACATTTTTCATGCACGCTGACGGTAATATTGTTTATGAATCTCTTTCCATAAACAGACAACTCAACAGTAAAATATTTTTTTCATTTGGAACAGTTATTGACTAACATAAGAGCATTCAACCTAAAAAAATGAGAAGCGTCATTTTTATAACACACATAAGTGTATTTTGTACATAGATATATAATGTATAAGGTTAAATATTTTGAAAAACGTCTGCCGTATTCATTAATTATTGGGAATATATCTTTTTCAGTACTGTGATCGATCTGTAACTATTAATCAATGATACTAACATGTACTTTAAAAAGACTTTGATAGTGTTTAAAAAAATGTTTCTGTTCATTTTCTTAATGCATTTGTTTCAACTGTCACATCTAATCGGACATGTGGAACATTTTAACTAAAAGCTACCGGCAGCCATTAGCAAGCTTGATAATTACAGATCAAACGGCCACAGTTATCCCATGTGATGTTTGCAAGCTACGACAGTCAATACATTCTGTTAATGATTGTAATAACAAAAAGTACATGTGTAAATATTCTGAAAAGAACATTTTTCAATATTTTCGTAATATTATTAATGTTCACAACTTAATATTTATTGTACTTTATAAGTCGTAACAATTTTATATATATAAATAAAATAAAAATAAATAAAAATTATTGAAGTTACAATGAAAATTTTTGTTTATTTAGCTGCTTTATTTTCTAATACATTTTTTTCAATTTATAATTTTTAATATTTTATAAACAATCATTTATAATATTTTTAATAAGAATATTAAGTCATCATGACTTGTAAAAAATATTTTTTTAATGCGATAAATGAAATTGATTTTATATACTAACAACTCATATCTAAAATATATCTAAGAATTTCTGTTTTTTTTTTAATTACAACTCATTATTTATCAAAGTAAAATCGACACTTTGTCTCCAATGACTCGAACATTTAAGTACAAATTCAAATTTAGCTTCGTCTTATTTTCGTACGTTTTTTGTAGAGTTATTAATCTGACAGACATTTCATTAAAATATAAGGAAGTTCCAAAGCTGCTTACATACCGTTATACTGGAAATATTGAATTACTCTTAAGTAATATATTAAAACTTTGACCAAATATAATGGAAACAAGTTACCTCATATTTTCTGAGATATATAACCCATGACAAAAAAAATGACATAACGTCTTGGTGCTCTTTACTTCTTTCGTAATATCGACAGGGAAATCTGAAGTCTTGTCCCTTAGGAGCACCCTCGGTAGTCCCAGAAACCTAGAGCCTTAAGCCTAGAGCCTAGAGATCTTGTCAAGGTCATACAATTATTAACATGATACAAAGATATAAACTTCATTATTAAAAAAGAACGTATCTCAAAAATCTCTCAAGTTCCGCTGAAAATGTTGGGTATAACGACTTTTTTATAATAGTACTTAAAGACATTTATGAAAACATTAATCTGCTTCTTAAACTTTTCTGAAAATAATGAGAGGTAAAAGTTAAATACTCACATATATTTCATTTAATTTTATGAGAGGTTTAACACAATATAAATTTAAAATAACGGCCAACCATTCAGGCCAATACATTTATGGGAGCAGAGTGGACAATAACAATAATAATAAAAATAATTGTAGGTATTCCTTCTTGATTTAATAAAAGAAATAGAAGTCTAGTGCAGGAAATTGAAACAATAACATGACCGTATGCAATTGTTACACACATAGGAATGAAAATA